GACTAAGGTGGTAGGAGCAGACAGGAAGGGGCTCCTTGAGGAGAGGCTTCGGGGCCCTGAGCCAGAATTGAAACGTGGAGTCTGATCTAGCAGCTCTTGCCTCTGGTCAGACTTCCAACTGCCCAATTATCCCTAAGTGCCTCCTATCGACCGCAGCCAGTGCTGTCCAGTGCATATTCTGTGTCTCCAGCCCCAAGGCTGCTGTTCCATCCAATGGCCTTGTTAGGGCTAATTGCTCTGGCATTTGGTTCTGATGAGGACAAGAATGGCAGGATCCTGCCCGATGTCAGGGAGTTTCATTCTTTTTCCAGTTGGGTAGGTGAGTGGTGACAAGACACCCCTCTTCAGACCTCCACAAATGGTCCTGCAGCCCCAAGACCACAAAGCCCAGGCTGAGTATCAGGTCTCCGCTTCACAGCCCATTCCAACCTCCTGGGTGGCAGGGAAATACAACCTCACTTTGCCTTCTGTCCGGGGCTTAGTCTGCACAGCGTCCAGGCAGCCCACCACGACACCCTGAGCAACAGAAATCTCAGAGAGGGTCCTTTTCAGGGCATGCCAGTTAGTGATTCCATGGACCTGCATCTCTGTGAGAAAGAACATTGGCCCCAGAGCTCATCTGGGGACAGGTTCCTAGAGACCCTGGCATCCTGTGTTTCTCCAGAATAATTTGGGTGGACTTGTCAAAGTGGGTGGGGTATATGTTTGTTTGTTTGTATGTGTATGTCTACATGTATAGCATGTATGTGGACACATGAACATGCTATACATGTGTGCTTGTTTATATGTGTGCACCTGGGTGTGCCTGTCTCTCTGCACATGTGGCTCTCTATGTACATGTGTACATGTGCCTGTTCTCTGCATCTAAGCGTGTTTGTGTCTCTGTGTCTTTGTGTATAAGCACGGCGAGCACCTATCTATCTGTGCATGCGTACATGTTTGTGTGCGTGAATGTGTGCCTATGTGTCTCTGTGCACATACCTGTGCGTATAAATATTTGTGTGTGTCCATCTCTCTCTCTCAATGTGTATCTGTATGTGGCCATACATGTACATGCATGTTTCTATACGTTATATATCCCTAGGTATGTTTTCACATAGATATGTATACGTTAATATGTGTCTCTGTGTAAACATGCAAACTTCTATGTGTCTGTAGTAAACATTTGGGCATATTCATATGTGTCTGTGTGAACATCTGTGTATATGTCTGCATGTGGTCATATGTACATGCCCATCTCATTTCTGTTCACATGTGGATACCTGTACATGCTCATTTCATATGTGCACACATGTGTAGGCTTAGAATTTTCACCACTCCCACTTGAAAACACATGTGAACATTTACGTGTGTTCACCACCTGTGTGCCCACATGTGAATACCTGTGTGTTCTTATCTTGTGCATGCTCACATGTGTGAGCTCACTTGGTGTGTCTCCACATGTGGACATATAGTTTATTTGGCTCGTGTATGTCCACATGTGTATATCCGTGTGTTCTCACCTTGTGTGTGCCTGTGTGTGTATACCTGTGTGTTCTTATCACATGTGTGTTCGTGAGGCTTGGTGTGAGTGTATGCTATAGATGTGCACATTTGCCCAGGCTCTTGAAGAAGGCCATGGTGCTGGCTGGAGATGGCCTTTGAGCCTGGATTGTGGGGGCGTGTGTTCCAAAGCGCACACAGGTTTCCATAGTGCCCAAAGGGGCAGATCTGGGGTGGTTGCTGTGGCTGGGTCAGCTCCAGGACCAGGGGTCAGGACACCCCCCACCAGTCCTTGGTGTCCTGGGCCCGGAGGTCCACTTCAGCAGTGGACAGGATGAGGCAGCAGTCTCCACACCAGGGTGAGATCCAGCCGCGCCTTTGTCGGGGAGGGGGTGCGCTGTCATTATGGACAATTAAGCATCGTGCTGAAAGGAGCTGTGGAAAGAGAAAGGCCCTGTGTGTTGCTGGGCTCCGCAGGCCTAATCGCTGTGGTGACAGAGGAGGGTAATTATTCAGGATGACTGTGAATGGCAAGCATTGCAAGGGTGCAGAGGGCTCAGGAAGGAGGGAGGGCTGACTATGCCCCCAGCACCCGTCAGAGCCCAGAGCAGGCAAAGGCTTGCTGTGCTCGACCTGCACGTCAGCTGTCTCCTTTCCTGCTAGGGTTGGCTTCCTGACCACTCCACGGCCCTATGGGCTTGGCTTCTAGGCTGTGTGCTGTCCGGGGAGTCCTCAAAGCCTCACCTCAACCAACTAGAAGCCTCTTCCCAGCCCTGCCCTGACCTCAAGTGTCTGCCTCCTCCAAGTGAGGTTTGGCGGTGGCTGAAGCTTGGCCTGTGCCCCACCCCTGCTATCTTCTTTGTAGACTGAAGTGTGGGAAACTGGAGATCGGGGCTAGAGACTGACTGTGTCATCTAGAGAGGTTCTGCCCTTCTGGGTCTCAGATCTCCCTTCTGTAGAATGGGTTTGTCTGAAAGCGGAGAGGCAGGCACACCTCCGTAGGCCCCTGCATGAGTCATCATGGCAGAGGGTCCCATCCTGACATGTGTTTAAGCAGCCTGCTTGGCTTTTGGTGAGCTATATGAGGAGGCGGGGCCTCTACCATGGAGCAGGGCCGAAGCCCAGGAGCCTGGCCAAGGGTAGACTTGAGGAGCTGCTTGAGGTCCTTCCCATCAAACTGGGGATGGGACAGGGCTCAAGTGTTTAGGTAGATGGCTTAGATCTGGGCACAGGTCAACCAGTACTTTGTAGAGGGGAGTGTAGGTATCCCACAGAGAGTGAACAGCCTGGGTGTGCTACCAGGCTGGCCATGAAGAGGCAAGAGTCTGGGGAAGCAGTTACCTCCCAGGAGAGTCCAAAGGCATCGTATTCTCCAGTTCAGGTCAGGAGATCCTTGGGTGAGCCCAGACACAGACAAGGTCTGGAGAGCACACATTCCTCCACCCCCACCTAGCTTCTCTGCGAGCACCTCCAGCCAAGGCAAGAAAGCGAATTAAAAAGCAATATTTGTGTCAGTGTAAGACATTTGCTGAAAGGTTAAGTCCACATCTGTGGTGCTGCGCAGCAGCCCCCTATGCAGTATTGGTTGCATACGGCCCCTCCTACCCTGTGCCACCTGAGCAAACTCCAGCCTGGGTCGGGTGGAAGCGGCCTGGGCTTGCCTCACCCAGAAATCCCCAGCACCTTCCAAAGGAGGGTCCTAAGGAGTGGCCTTCGAACCTGGGGACTGGGCATGGAGGCCCTTTGGGTTTGAGCAACAGCTCTCAGTCCTCAGGATGGAAAACTGAGGTACAGCCACCTTGGGACCCTTCTCTAGGCTGTTGAGAGCACTCGGAGTGGAATCCTAGGACACAGGGCAGGCCAAGGCTGAGATGGGCATGTGGCGGCAGAGCTAAGCCAGCGGACTCGCTGAGCCAGGCAGAGTTCAGAGAGGGGCATGGAACACGGTAGGGGGCAGTTCGTGGTAAAAGAAAGTAGGCATTGCAGAGTAAATGGTTGCTGAGCTGGGGTTCATGGGATTCACAGGAGCCTGCTCAGAGAGGGTAGATGAGAGATGGAGTGTCAATCTGGGTATCACAGGGCTCCAGACTCCCCTGGAACAGGAACTGTGGGGGCCAGTAGGGGAGGTTGGGAAGATTTCCTTTTGCCCTGACTGGGCATTTATCCTGCTTCCAGAGGGCAATGGGAGCCAGTGCGGGCTGTAGAGCAAGGCAGTGATGTGGCAGGCTGTTTGGGGGAAGGTCTCGGTTCCTGCTGTGAAAGAGAGAGCTGGGAAGGGAAAGGGCTGGCTGTGGTGAGTGCAGCAGGCAGTTCCTGAGAGTCTGAGTGCTGTCTAGGAGGTGGGGTGAGACTGCACAGTGATCAGCCAGACGGGGAGCTAAGTGGAGCTTGGGGAGTCCAGGGAGTTTGGCGATTGCTAATATCTAGTGTGCTGGGTCCTCGGAACCCCAGAGTGGCCATTTTCAGAGTGAGCCTGTCCTTTTGGCACTTCTGCTGCCCCCAATATCCAGAGGGATCAGGGAGGCACTCTTCTTCAAATCCCTTAGTGAGAGGACACCTTTCCCAGAAGGGCTTGGGCAGTTGTCCTGAACCATTACCTGAAGGAAGAAAATGACTCCAGGGAGATGGGGTGGGCCCCCTCCCTGGTCTTCTTGGAGATCCTGTTTCCTTGGCTGAAGAAGCTGTGGTGGGTCTTTGTGTAGGTGGGGGTCAGTACTCTACAGTTTTGTAGAGTAACTACAAAACAAAAGGTCACTGATGTGAAACCTTGGAGTGCCATGGGAGAGATGACCACTAAGTATGGTCTTCCATGGGGACCAGCTGAGAATAGGGCTGCTGCTAGCTTGAGACTCGGGGAGCTTATGACACTAGTAACTTAAGGAGAGGTCTGCTCCCACAGAAGGTGAGGTCAGAGGGCCCTAGGGAGATCCCAGGGTCTAGGGTTGGCACCTTCTTCTGGGCTGTGTCTTCAAGGAGATGATAATCAGGGGGATAGGAGCCCTGCAAAAGTGGGCCAGTCTTGGAAACACTAATAGAGGAATAGCCTTCTGGAACATTCTGTGTCTCACAGGACCTGCCCAAGGATCCAGCCCCAGTGCCAGCACGTACAAAAGTAGGGTAGTGAGTAGATGCTACACTTTGTTACATGAGCTGGGGGAACATGTCCCATGGTCTGGAGGGGACTTGAAGGTACCCAAAAAGCAAGAGAGGGGCTTCTGGATTTATTTGCCTCCAGGGGCTATAGTTTTCCTGACATGAGCCCTTGGGAATCTGTCACCGGCCCTTGAGCCTTGGTTCAGTTAGAGGGCTCTAGCTTTCTCCTGCCCCAAAAAGTACCAGGCAGCCCCTGCCTTCATGCCGTGCCTCGGGCTGAGGGTGATTCAGAAGCAGGTGCCTGTGACAGTGGATGCAATTAGATCTAATGGGACGGAGGCCTTTCTCGTAGCCCTCGCTCTGTGCCCACCCCCGCCTCCCTCAGGCGCAGCAGGCGGGGAGAGGATGCGCAGGAGGTAGGAGGTGGGGGACCCAGAGGGGCTTTGACGTCAGCCTGGCCTTTAAGAGGCCGCCTGCCTGGCAAGGGCTGTGGAGACAGAACTCGGGACCACCAGGCTGCACTATGCCGACCCCCAGCGCCTCCTCTCCACAGCCCAAGGGCTTCAGAAGGGCCGTCTCAGAGCAGGATGCCAAGCAGGCTGAGGCCATCATGGTGAGAAAGGCATGCTATCTGCAACCTGTAGATGGAGGGGTGCCCCAGGCTGGGAGTCTACCCAGTGTCTGGTACCCAGGGTTGGAGCGGGTCTTTGTCCTACCCTGTGCCAGGGTTAGTTTGGGTCCTAGCCCTGTTAGATAATCCTGTGCTTGGGTAAGTGCCCCTGCTGTGTCCTGCTGGACTCCCAGAGACAGTCAGTGCCTCCACACCCCCCCGCCTCAGGGCCAGCCTTCCTGGGGCTTCTGTGGGTCCTATTTCACGAAGGAGGGGGAAATCTCCCCAGGGTGGTCTTGGGAGAGAGTCCCATGATCCAAGTTCCCCAGTAGATCCCCACTTCTTTACCCTCTTTGGGTTCTCTAGGCTTGCCTGTCACGGGGTGTGGGGTTTCCACAATGCATGCTTGAGGGGAAAGCTGGTCAGCAAATGGCTGGGCTTCCTGCTGCTGTCCTATGCAAACAGAGCATGGGCCCAGGTTCTGCTGTGCCAGAAGAGGTCCCTGACTCGGGGGCAATTCCTGAGCCTCCTTTCACCCTTTCCACCTTCCACTGCCCTGTTTCTGTGTTAGCTGAGAGCAGGGCTTAGGGAGCCTCCCAGATCAAGGGGAGGTGCTGCCAAAACACCAAACACTCCCTTTTAAAGTCAGACTGGACAAGGGGCTCCCGGCTCATGGGAAGGGCTTTCGGATTATCCCTGGGACCCCATCTAAGCACTGTCCTGGGCTGACAGAGTCCTTAATGAGACCACTGTGACCTTTAGACATTGAATTTTCAGGTACTTCTCCAGAGACAGCTGTGGGGTCAGAAGTGCCCCTTTCCCACTTCTCAGTGGCATGGCGCTCCCTGCAGCCTCCCTGGGAGGGACCCACCCAGTCGCATGTTCTTCCCAGGCAGCCTGTAGCTCTGGCTGAATTCACAGGGTTCTGCTGGAAGTCTGGAGGGGGGCTCCAGAGGGGATGTTTATCCCCATGACGATGACATCCCCAAAGCTCAGGATGGTTTACTCTTTCAACCGAGGGACCCAGAACTCTCAGCTCCCAGCTAAGAGTTCAGGCCCCTCCTCACTCAGGTCCAGCTAGTTCTGAGTGATGTGGGATTGGGCACACTGGTTCATAGCTGTGGCAGTTACACAGCCAACAGAGGCCATCCAGAGGTAGCCCACAGTCAGACAGCTGAGGTGAGGGTAGCCAGGAGGGGGGTAGGGGGGCAGAGGATGGCAGAAAAGGGACAGGGTGGCTGGAGGCATTGATTGGGGCTATTCCCAGGTTAAAAGGACAGCGTGCACAGGGCACCTGGCTAAGATCCACTGATTCCAGCGATGGTGTGGACAAGGGGCTCAGCCCCATGTACCTCTGAGAGAATCAGGAGGGGAAGGAAGGTTGCTTGTTTCAGCTGCAGACAGTCCTCTCTACCAGAATGGACTACCCAAACTACCCACTACCCTTGATGCCTGAGGCTTGTGCTCTGTCTCCTCCAGGCCCTGGGTGCTACCCGTAGAAACCAGGAAAAACAGGCCAAGTCACAGTCCTTTATCACTAATTCAGTTAGGTCTAGGCCTGGGAGGCAGGTGGCAGGGCACCTCTACCTTGGAATATGGTGGCCAGGAGCCCTTGCCCTTTAGTTCTGCCACGGCTTCCAGGCCTAGCTGCCCGCCACGCCCTGTCAGAACACTGACTAGTATGCTCTGTCCTCCACTCCCGCATGCTATCCAGTGGTTTGACCAGGACCCTGGAGGCAGGATCAGCATGGAGACACATATATCTCTGACTCTCAGTCCCCAAGGTTCATCGGGCGGAGGCAGAGTCTCATTGAGGATGCCCGGAAGGAACGGGAGGCAGCAGCAGCGGCAGCAGCGGCGGCAGCAGCAGCAGCGGCAGCAGTAGCCTCCTCGGAACCTGGGAACCCGCTGGAGGCTGTGGTGTTTGAGGAGAGGGACGGGAAGGCTGTTCTCAACCTGCTCTTCTCTCTGAGGGGTACAAAACCCTCCTCACTGTCCCGGGCTGTGAAAGTGTTTGAGGTGAGGCCTGTGGGCTGGCTTGGTATGCCAGGGCAAGCATGCATAAGATATTGTAAGAATAGCTGTGTCCCCCTCCAGGGCAGAAACATGGCTGCTCAGGCCAACAGGGCTAGATCTCAGGAACTACCCTTCAGCTTCTCCATTTAACCTCAGCTCCCTGACACCCACTGTCACACACACACACACACACACACACACACACACACACACACACACAC